GAGAGAGAGAGAGAGAGAGAGAGAGACCTAGAGAGAGACCAAGAGAAACACGGGCAAAGAAAAAGGAAAGAGAAAGAAAGACAAAGGAAAAAATAGAAAGAGCACGGACAGCAAAAGTGAAAAGAACTATACAGATCAGACCACACCATCCCAGCATATGTGACTGACCTGTGAGAGCCAGGGTGACCGTCAGAGCCACCACCACCATCACCACAGCGGCCACCACCAGCAACAACATCGCTTTTGGCGCAGCTGCCACACTGGTCAACCCTACCGCTTGACTTTTGCTCAATTTGTCAATACTCGAAGCTGCGCTGCTGCCCATGTTGTTGTTGTTGCTGATGTTGTTGTTATTGTTGTTGTTGTTGTTGTTGCTGCTATAGTCATTTGAGAAAGCTGGGCTGTCTTTGGTGGTTGTTGTAGTTCCGAGTACAGAAGATGGGGGTTGTGAAGATGATGATGGTGGTGGTGATGATGAAGGTGGTGGTGATGATGAAGGTGGTGATGATGATGGTGGTTGTGACATTGATGAGAAAGCTGTAGGATCTGTGACTGTGCCGGTATCAGCCACACCTGATGTAGCGAGTGCTGTCATGTCTGATGTGGGCGGGGCTTCCAGGTGTGAGGGGACAGAAGTAGCAGGAGCACTGGGCACTGCAGCCACAGCAGTTGAGTGGGGGGCGGGGGAGGGGGAGGGGGAGGTCTGTGGAAACGGAGAGAACAACGGGTGGTGGTGGTGGTGGTGGTGCTACTGGTGCCGATGTCGTTGGTGCAGGTTCGAATCTCGAGTCGTCGTGACTAACACTTCCAAGGACACGCTTCTTGTTCAGGACTGCCCTGTCGTCTTTATTGTTGTTGTTGTTTTTCTTGCTGTTGTGGATTTCTTTGCTGTCTTGGTCGTTCCTTGTGTTGTTGGTGCTGGTGTTGTTGTTGTTGTGGTTTTCGTTGCTGCTGTTGTCCTTGTTCTCTGTGTCGTTGTTGTCGTTGCACTCTTTTTGTTGTTGCTGTGGTCGTTTCTGTGGCTGTTGCTGAGGGTAAGTCGTTGTGGTTCCAGTCGTGAGGAGTCCCGTGTTGAGACAGTGTCTAGATGTGAGGTGTTTCTGCTCCGACAGGCAGGCGGTGACATAGCAGTCCATTACTGGAGGGGGGGGGAGGAGGTGGAGGAGAGAGAGATGTACACATAATTTTAGTATTCTGCTTTAGTAAGAGTTGTGCAGCACTTGCAACACAATACGGTCGTATAAGTGCCGAAGATTAGAGGAGTTGCAGGAGAGTAACAAACACAATAAGGCTATATAAGTGCCCAAGATTAGAGGATTTGCAAGAGAGTAACAAACACAATAAGGCTATATAAGTGCCCAAGATTAGAGGAGTTGCAAGAGAGTAACAAACACAATAAGGCTATATAAGTGCCGAAGATTAGAGGAGTTGCAAGAGAGTAACAAACACAATAAGGCTATATAAGTGCCGAAGATTAGAGCTGTTACAAGAGAGTAATAAACACAAAGAGGCATAAGTGCCAAATATTAGAGGTGTTACAAGAGAGTACTTTACACAAAAAAGAAGGTGGGGAGATAAAGCCCATGGATCAGAAGTTTGATAGGAAAGAAGGAGCAAACTTCAACAGAACACCCGCCAACCACCCTCTCGCTTACGTATGGCACACATGGAATAAAAACATCACGCCAGCAAGCTGTTCCACTGCTGTAAGCCCAGAAGGCAGAACTGATCAGGGGAGAGAAATAAACAAACAAACAACAAACAAAAACAAACAAACGTGTTTCATTCTTGTAACAATAGTACACATGTATCTTTTCTTGCTTTTTCGCGATTAGAGGTGTTACAAGAGAGTAACAAACACGAAAAAGGAGGGGAGATAAAGACGATAGATGTGACGATATTGAAAGGATTTTTTTTGACGATTTATTTTTGTTTTGTTTTGATTTTGGTTTTTTTGTTTTTTTAGTAAGAGTTTTACGGCACTAGCAAAACAAGTAGGTCATATAAGGGCCCAAAACTAGTTTAGCTCAGTTCCTTAAGATTTTACGGCATTTGCAACATAATTTGGTCATGTAAGTTTCAGAGATAAGAGGCGTAACAAAATCACTAAAGAGTAAAAAGCATTAAAAGGAGGCGGTATAAGGATGGTAGGGGTTAGATAGGAAAGAAGGAGCAAATCACACACCACAGCACCCGCCAAGCACCCACTTGCCAGACTGGAACAAACAAAGAAAAGAAAGAGGATATATAAAAGGACGAAAAGCCGCTAGGTAGGAAAGGAGTAAACCACACCAGAGCACCCGCCATCCACCCATAAAACAGATCGGCAGGAACAACAAGGTTAGAGAAAAGAAGAAAAAGACATATAAGCGGTGCCTTCAAACCATTCACTTGCAGAAATATGTTAGTTTTAGTAAGTGTTTTACGGCGCTTGCAACACAACAAGGTCATATAAGTGCCGAAGATTAGAGGTGCTACAAGAGAGTAAAAAGCACGAAAAAGAAGGAGGGGAGATAAAGATGTTAGATGTTTGATAGGAAAGAAGAAGCACACCACACGAGACACCCGCTAACCACCCACGGTTCACGGTTTGAATACTTACCGCGGAGCTGAATAACCTGCTCTCTCTACTTCTGCATAAACGTACATTCTAGTATTATGCACTCGCTTGTATAAATTCTCATAAACTGTTTCTCTGACCTGCCATTTATTGTTTCTACTGTTCTATAATTACACACTCGCTTGATTTTGTTCTCCAAAACTGTTTCTCTGAACTGCCATTTATTGTTTCCGCTGGTCTATAATTGCACACTCGCTTGTCTAAATTCTGACAAACTTTTCTCAGTACTGTCATTTGTTTCGACTGGTTTCCAGATCTAGAGGAAGTTTTCTGGAGATATGATCACATCTTATACAGTTGTATATTTTCTAAATAAGGGGGAATTATTACGGCTTTTTTGGTCAATCTCTCTTGATACAAAGGACATTAATAAATGTAATCTTCTGGGTTCAGAGCAGTAGATTTCTTTTCCAAGAGTTTTCAAGACCAGATTACTTTTTTCCCAAGACAAATAACGTATCATTTCGGAAGGAAATTTTTCGTTCAGCATGCAAAAATACATTATGGTACACCCCAGAACACGTTAAGTCGAGGCTTTCTAAACTTTTGTATTTTTCCAAGAGTTTTGTCAATTTCCAAAATTCCAAGAGTTTTCCAAGACCAATACGAACCCTGTGTCTTGTCTGTACAAAAGGTAGACGAAAACGTCTGATCGAAAACGTCTGAGCAAGAGAAGGGTTAACGACACTGAAAATGTTACAGTTAATGCACGGGCTAGGTGAGGCCGAGACCCGCACGGTATAATATCCTTCACGGCACGAACCTCGGACGATCTAAAGCGTGGGGTTTTCAATTTTTTTTTCGTAAGCAGCAGTTCCCCCCTATGTTGTTCCGGCACAGAATGAGCATGACATTGATAAATCAGCCCATTTACAGTTCTACTGTGTAAAAGAACACGTTAATATTCTCCCTTTGGGAATCGCCTAGACACTTCAGTCGGTGGCACTGCACTGGATTTTTTTTTCAGGGGGGGGGGGGCAAGAGAGGGGTTAACGACGCTGTGAAAATGTTACAGTTACAGTTAATGCACGGGCTAGGTGAGGCCGAGACCTGAGCGGTATAATATTCTTCACGGCACGTGCCTCGGATGATCTCAAGTGTCAATCCAGGATAATACGTGCAGTGTGTGACCTGATAGTGGTCAAGACATCCGCGAATACATTGTGTAAGCCTAACCACACCTGAACCAGATCTTAAGGGGAAGGTTTAGGGTGAGTCAGGAGGAGAAGTATATCGACACAATGATGGCCGATAAGTGTAAGGAAGAAGCACGATATAGACGGAGAGAACTAACGAATTCACGGAAAAGATAAGCGCATTCAAAATTTGTGCAGTTTGAGTAAGAGTAAGAGTTTTAGAGCACTTGCAACACACACATATAGGTCATTTTAGTTTTAGTAATAGTTTTACGGCACCTGCAACACATATAGGTCAGTTTAGTTTTAGTAATAATTTTACAGCACCTGTAACACATATGGGTCAGTTTAGTTTTAGTAATAGTTTTACGGCACCTGCAACACATATAGGTCAGTTTAGTATAGTAAGAGCTTTACAGAACTAGTACACAAGTAGGTCCTATAAGTGCCGAAGATTAAAAGTGTTGCTGAAGAGCAACATGGCATAATAAGAAACAGACGGAGCGATAAGGACGACAAACGTTTGATAGGGAAGAAGGAAACAGACCACACCAGAGCACCTGCCAAACCCAAACAAATCTCAAGAGCTAATCCAGGACAACAGTCAAGTTGTGGGGACATCCGCTTAATGAACAAGCCTAACCCGCCCGGAACCACGTCTATCATACAGCAGCCTAAATTACTACCGAAAAAGAAAATAACAACCTGTTTGTTTGTTTTTTGTTTTGTTTTTACAACAGAAACAATCATTTCACGGAGCTGTCTTCTACGTAGCTTAAACACGTTAGCGTTCCGATTCGTTTCTACGTCGCTTAATGTTGACACACCTCCAGTCTTACCCAATATAATATCACTGGTTTCCACCTTTCTGTAGGCTTAACCCCCCGAAAAACAAACAAACAAACAAACAAACAAAACAAACCAAAACAACAAAACAAATCAAAAATAAAATCAACAACAACAAACAATAAAAATTAGTTGCCACCCTTCTGAAATAAAACAACTACAAACAATACATCATTCGTTGCCACCCTTATGTAAAAAAAAAAAAAAAACCAAAACCAAATCAACAACAACAACAATGACGACGACGACAAAAACAACAACAACAACAAAGGAAAAAAATACTCCCCCCCCCCAAAAAAAAGAAAAAAGGTTGTTGGATGAAAGTTTCCAAAACTCTTCGACCAGTTCCAGTTTTTTTTTTCAAGAAAGCTAAGCTGCTCTTAGAGCTCTCACACGTAAGCATCTTCAACGTTTGTTATTATTGTTATTTTTTGTTTTGTTTCGTTTGCTTCCTTGCTTGGTTTATTTGTCTTATAAACACAAAACAAAGGTGTTCGGGCAAGAAACAGACGGGTCTCTTCTTCTCAAACATGATCTCAAAAGAGTTCAATTGATCCCACCACATCGATAGCTAAAAATATCTCTTGCTTTTACGGAATTTGTTTACACAAACTGCTACTAACTAGAAGAGAAGAGGAAGGTAGTGGGGGGAAAAGAGAGAATAAGTTGTTACATTTTTAGGCGGCATCAACCAATGTTGTTACACACAAAATAGACAGCTAAAGGGGATATTTTGAAGCAGTATGAATATTTGGCAAGAGGTATAATAATAATAATAA